CTCTTCTGCGTTAACAAGCCATTCACAAGCACAATAATAGGGTGCGTGTGAGTGCCGTTTGTCGTCAGATGCGCATGCAACGGGAATGGCAGAGGATTCTTCGTATGCGTGTCGGAGAAATTCTGGATCAACTTGATGAGTGAAAAGTCACCCACAGTCTCAGGCATGACGGCAGTGGGCACTTTCACAGGCACTGGAATACCCTTGTAGACAATCTTGGTCTCAAACTCGTGAGTATCCCGCGGGACGGAATACACGGTCTGCCCGCCTTCCACTTGAGCCCTGGTTCCGGTCCTAGAGATACCTGCGCGTTTCGTGGGACTGAAGCTTCCTTCTACGGCTGATGCCGGGGCTGTCTCGTTCTCATCCTCGGCCATGCGCATCTGAATCATCTGCTCAAACTTCTCGACAAACAGATCCCGATTGTCACTGGCTTGCAGCAGGTGTCTTTCCAGAAGACTAAGCCTGGGCATCAAGGACAGGTCCATTGCATTGACAGAATCGTACAGAGCCGACAAGGTTTCGGGGACAGGGGCCTTCAGGTATTCCTCCAAGGCCAAAAGCAGCAATGGCTACACAGATTAGTTTCCTGTATGCAAGCTTACACCAGAATTGCAGGGGACCACGGTATCACATACCTTGTATATGTGTAGAAAGGGATGCCGGGTACAGATGGCCATGGATTTCACAATGGCGCCTCGTTTCACCGTCTTGTCATGCTTTGTGTTGACCAAGTTGAGAACATAAATCAGCGGGGGGCCTTCCCCCCCCTCGGGCTCGCTGTCGGTGGATTCGTCGTCATCGTCGTCGAGGTCATCGTCAACGTCGCCGTCCCTGTCTCCCTCCAGGTCGTCCTCGTCCTCCTCGTCAATGATCCCCGCCAATTTATTGCGCCTTCTCCGCCGCCTCCGCCTCCGCCCCTCCTTGGCCTGTCTCTCTTTCTCCTCCTCCTCCTCGTTACTTTCCTTGTGGAGGAAAAAAATGGTCCAGTCCTGATTGCGCGCATGGGCCTGGTCAGGCAGCATCAGCTCCGCAAGCATGTTCTCGTCGCCGGTGATTGCGACGGGGTACTGATGCTCCATGACCGGCCCGCGGTCAATGTCAAAGGATGCAACCAAAATGTATTCCACATGGTTCTCGGTAGTCCCGCGGGGGTATTGTGAGCGCAGCTTTCGAGGGGTGCCTGCATCCGACCGCAATGGCGCAGAGAGCGACGAGTGCTGTGAGGATGGGTTCGCTGGGGAGGAAGAATTGAGCTTCTGGCTGAGCTCCGATGTGAGATCCGACTCATGGATTGGCGGCTGTGGGGACTTTGGCGGGCGCGACATCTGTGAGGGCGATCGTGAGGGCGGGAATGAGGACAGCGAGGTTCGTCGGGTGTTCGAAGGGGGGGCTCCAGAACCATTGGAGCCGCTGAGCTGACTGTTGTTGCTCTGGGTTCGTGCAATGTGCGGCAGGAGGGTCGCCATAATGGCTCCTCATTGAGCCACGGACGCTCTGGCCGCGAAGCTGCAGAATATGTGCTTAGCCGAGGACTGAGCTGCGCACTCCTTGCATGCGTTGGGAGTGTGTATGTAGTGTAATGTATCGGTATGTCTTGTCTCAATGTATGTCTCTGGTGGGAGCGGGGGGGTGGCCCCGTATCAAGCAGCTTGGTCCGCCAATATCACTGTGGCTAATGCCTGCAACCAGCCAACGACGCCACTTCACTCGGCAGCCAGCAAGCCAGTGTCCATACACAATGCTCGCATTCGGTAGGTAGATGGTTACAAATTGCAGGTATTACTATGTATGCCCCGGTGCTCTGGCTGGACTCTGCCCCTCGATCCAATAGCATTTGTGTAGCACCACACAGCTTTCATGCAGGCGATATATCTAAGCACTAGGTAGGCATTGATGTGCAGTCAACCGTCATCTGTTCCGGCAGCTATTATTCACCAACCCAACCCATATGATTCCACGTCGGTATCATCGGGCTGTCTGGAGGGCGGTGAACCAAGAAATCTATGCCTCAACCACACTTGGGGGCAGGTGATATGGAAACCCAAGTTCCGATCACCCAGAAAATGGCACTGAAACACATCCCCATACTTCTCCGCCCCTTTATGGGAAGGCACTCGACCGCTTGGGACGGTACCTAGTCCCTGAATCGTATCCACACACCCATCCAGAAGCGGACCACAATTAGGCCAGGGGTAATAGCTCGACTCCCTTCCAGCAACAATTGACCTCCGATTGGCCATGCGCTGACTAAACTTGCAAGTGTAAGCCACCGGCATTGTCTTCTACATACGAGTTTGGAGAAGTGTGAAAACAAAGAGCAAACTATGAAAAAAAAAGCATCAAGACGATAAGCAGAATTTACAGCGAATACATTCCAATTGATGACTAATGGTCGTCAGCCAAAATACTGCTTCCAGAACGCATATTAAACAAGGGCTGCAATTTGATATGCAGTACTTCCTTAGTAAGCCGCACCCTCATAGAGGGCCGCCGCTTCAGCCACGCGCCCCACATGGCTGCCATGCAAGGCTGTTGTCGTGGTTGCCAGCTGATTGTTTACTTCCAAGATCCCTAGTGAAATCCATGCATGTACGACGTATGCCCACCTTCAATCGATAAGGACCTTGCGAAACTGGTAATTAATCAAGCAAAACGCAGCTTACCCGCAAGCCAGCTCTTAGTTAAATCATTAATATACACCGGATCGACCAAGAAGAAGGAAGAGCCACCCTTTTGCCCCTAACACTTGTGCTTCCTCCAGCCCCAGCGCCCTAGCAACAATGGTACGTACAGGATTGAAGACGCTGGAACCCTGCGAGATGTGGTCGATGCACTGACGCCGTCGCCGGTAACTACAGTCAATGCCATCGGCGTTCAAACCTTCTGCTCTGGGCTATGGCTCTCCTCCAGCTCGAAGTTCTCCTTTCCGACGACCAGAGTCGCCAGCATCGCCATCTCCCCTCCGTCAAACCACACCAACTACGTCACCAACGAAAGGTGCGGCCGGCCCGCTGAACGGGACCTCACGATTTGCGATACCTACGACACCCACAAGCAGTAACCGCGAGAACAACTGGACACCTAGAGGGCCTACCACACCAGTCCGAGATATGGGATCACCCTTCCAGCGTGCCCCGGTGGCGCACACACCTCCGAGCAAGCCTCTTGGGCATGGAAACTCGTTATCCCAACTTCAACCAGCACAGGTGACGATGTTGAGAGATAGCTTTCAGATCCTCGATCGCGACTGTGATGGCATTGTGAACCGCGAAGACGTGGCAGATATGCTGCATCAATTAGGTACGGGGGAGGATATGGTCAACAATGCGTGCCACCTTGCTAACCAGACAACTGCAGGACTGCCCTCGAACCCCTCAGATGTATCACACTTTTTCCCACCGTCGCAGCCTCAGACTATCGCGTTGGCGGCGTTCCTGAACTCGTTAGCGGACAAATTGGCAGCACTATCTGCAAGCAGCGAGCTAATGTCTGCCTTCTCCGCGTTTGATGAGGACGATAGCGGACAGGTTGATCTGGCTGATTTGAGAGATGCTCTGCTAAACACAGCTCCCGAGCCAGGAGAGCGTCCTCTGACGGCAGCAGAGGTCGACAAGGTAATAAATGGCTTCACCGGCAGACGAGCGTTCAACAAGAACATGAACGCTCAGCTTGGCGCGAAACGGGGTGATGTGTTCAGATATCAAGAATTCGTCAATTCGATCATGGGATCGAATGGAGGCTCGGGCGGATCTTCGCAAGAGAACTCGGAAGGCTAGATCTCGAATTAGAAAGCTGCGGCAGGGCTATTATAATAATCATTAAATTTATGCATGGCTTCAGGGTCCACATGGGTGTAAATTATAATTATTGCAGGAACCAATCCTGAGCCATTCCTTATGTTAAGCCAAAAACTCAACCGGCTAACACCGTCCGCAACACAATCTATTTGTTCAGTAAAGATAAAACTGTCTGATGGGGTATGGAATGACCAACTCTCCGTGGTTAGGAGACATGAAACTTTCTGTCTCCTCTGGCCATGAAACAGGTTAGGTTGCCTACCTCGATTCTTAGAAAACACTAAGGTATCTATGGATAGCTTGCAGAGCATGTTACGACAATTATTTGCAGAGCATATCAAACTAAGATTCAGCGTCTAAGAAGATAATTACTGATAGATTGGTTTTCCAGCCACCTCCTCCATGGGTTCTAAATTTGGTCGTTCCACTCGATGATAACTAAGGTAGGAGTGATATCCTCTGCCAGGCAGGGGATAAATTTGAAATTTAGAAGACGCGGTCCCGGAGATTTGGTCGTTTAACAAATGCTCCACTTGGAAACAAATGACGTGAACGTTGGTCACCAGAAAAAGCAATCCCCACGTGCCGCGTTTCGTCCTTCCGGCCTCGGATCCCTGAGTAATTATCCTGTTTTCCGCGGCGGCCGGAGCAGAGACAGTCGGCCGACTGCGTACACAGATCGATATCTTGAGTGCCCGTGTGCTAGGGAAAGATTGGCTCTCTCATGGCGAGTTCCTTCTCTCCGGTACGCTTAGTAATACAGGAAAAATCAAGCCGATAGCCAGAACTAAAAGGGAGTGCCGTTATTCTAGCACAAAACAGCCTTTGTGGGGAGGCTCCCTCAGCAACGCCGCTTTTAGCCTGCGCTCCAACCCTGCTCCCGGCTGTGAGAGGAGGTCATCTACGCAAAATTATGCAATAATGATGTACACATCGCCTTCCAAAGGTTAACCGTAAAATACGGTTCCTGCTCTAGGGGGTGCGTTTTTAGGCAACATCCCAACTTCCTAGGAAGTCATGCTCTTCCTACAATATGCATGCTAGAAAGCAATCATCTGATCTTTTGTATAAATATCTCAGATTTTATATGACTCTAGCGTACAGATAAGAATTTGAGAGCTGGATTGGCAATTTATTACACTGGTTACCGCTCAGACAAAGGCATATCGGGTGTATTAACGCTTCATGGCCAACTCTCAGCTAAATCAAAAATCTCTTAAGATGTGTTTCTGCCTCATGTGTATCCCAATCAATTAACTCGCGCACGTTTGATTCTTCCAATTTGATCACAACAAATTCTCGCATCATGCGCCGTTGTGGCTCGCTCAGAAGTGAAAGTCTCGCGTGATGGTCGGCAGACTCGTTTCCAGGACCGAAGAATTCGGGGTCCAAGAACCGCCAGAAGAGAAATTCGAAGTTCCAACTGTTTCTGGCCGCGTAGTTGATCATCCAAGTGTTGGTCTCCCAGCTCTTGCGCATGCGAGAGGACAGCGACTCCTCAGTTGGACTTGCTACGACGCCAGCGGAATGGCATCCAGCGACTCTTGGTTGTGATCTACGGCGTTTCCCTCCTTCGTCCTCTTCTTCTTCCCTCAAAATACTTAAGAATGTCTCAAGCTTTGGCTCATACGCCTTTGAGAAAGGAACATATGCTCCTGCCCAGCATTCTGGGCTGGTTAGAAGCAGCCACCAGGGAGGGTCGAACGAGAATTGAGCTGGAGCCGAGTAAGCAAACTCCCAATCCAAGACTGCGACGACCTTAAGATTCTCGTCAATGAGAACGTTTGAAGGACGTAGATCTTCCGAATACAGTCTAAAATCGTACTGGACATCTTCAGTCTTCCTCACTTGGGGTCCGAGCCCGGTGGTCAGCCGTCCGTCTGTAGCAAGGTTTCGGAAAAGTTGTCTCCCAACATAGGCGTCATAGACGCTCTGTTCATCATTATTTTCCTTCACCGCATCGTTATGTTGAAAAGTGTATTGCAGAAGATGCATGTCTGCAAGAGCTTTGTACCAGTCTTCAGAGTTGGAGTACGGTTTTGAGGGAAGTGATTGCGGAGGAGCATCAGTGAATTCGATGATGGAGTTCATGTTTTGTATGAGAGGTCGTCCAGAAGCAGAGAAATTGCCTTGTTCATCTTGAACTAGCGAACCGATTTGGTCAAATTTGAATTGTGAGAGCTGGAGTAGAATATCGGCCATTTGACGATATAGAAATCTGAGCTTTTGATCTGGAATATTGGGGTCGATTACATGGGGCTCATCTGGTCCCAATGATGGATCTCTCAGAGCTTCAGACATGGTGCATTTGTGTTCAACATACTCCATGATTATGAACGGCCCCAACCCAATCGGATTCTCATCAGCTGTCCCTGCAAAGTAGATCTTAGGGACGGGAATGGTCGTATTGGCCGCAATGAATCGCATCGTGGTCACCTCGTACTTTACTTTTTCCTCAGGAAACTTCACTACACCTTTATATTTTTATTTCCACCACTTGTCAGAATGACAAAAAGAAATATATGAGCCTGGTAGACTTTTAGTTCATACCTTTAATGGGAACTCTCATCACAGCCGAGGATCCGTTTTTATACTCGAGGCGATAGACAGCGTTATAACCTCCTCGAATTGGTCGGTGTAGCTCTACCGCGTCGCCTGGGCGGTATTTCAAGATCAATCCAGCAATCGCCCGATAGATTTCACTCTTGTGAAGAGAGATTTCCCACGCATCAGCAGCTTCGTCGCTTCTCTCCCAAGCAAGGTCATCCTTGGGGGTGTAAGGAGGTCTTGGCCTAGGTGGCATGATGGAATCCTAAAGAGCAGTTGTCAGAGTACAATGCCGCGGGCTTCTTCATATAGGATTATCTTGAAAAGAGAATGGATGGAAACGGCGTTGATTTTTGCTCAGGGGCGTGCCAGACTCCCCGTACTTTGGAAAGGACAACTTGAAAGTCTGTTGGTTTGGTTGTTGGTAAGACGGCTGCTACATGTTTCGTACGACCCGCACTTGAATCACATACTCACTAGGCTGCTCTCGAATTTTCAAATCGTGTACTTTTTAATGGTGAAGGAAAGTAATATTATTAGCTTCTAGGAATGAGAAATGTCTAATTAGCCTATTATATCAAAAGAATAGCTATTACTCTCGTGAGTAGGGTTACTCGATCACATCCTCCATCGGTCTTAAAATATTTTAAATTAATTCACTTTAGATCTCTCCATTCACATCTGCAATTTAAAGCTAGGAAGGAAAGCAGCTTATCCATACACCTTTGCAGTACCTACTATCATATTTATCTTATCGCTCAGACTTGAGATTCTCCAACTACTATTCGGGCGCCCAGAGCTTGATGAGATAAATGTGAATAACAGGAGACCAGCGATGTACCTTGACTGCACCGTTCAGTCCATTTTTGGAATAGCAACGAGCAGTCGCGAAAAACGGAGAAAGGGGGATCATAACGGTGGGAGTAAGGTAGGACCGTTCCTGGCGGAGCTGCTTAGTCACCTCACTTGACAGAGGAGATGCCTGAGAAAGGGCGGCGGGAGTGCTTGGATCAAAATGGAAGCGCCATGGTTTTGTTCGCAGCACTAGCGAGGCTGATTCGCGTGGAGAAGTCTGAACTCTGACGACCCAATCCCTGATTCCTGCAGGCACTTTCCCAGCGCCCCACTGAACCTTCTAGAATCTAAATTCACTGCGTGCAAATCCTCGTTAGAACGGTTTGCACTAAGGCGAGGGCCGAAGGGGCCAAACGGCTTGGCGGGACAACCAGCAGGCCGGCCATCTGGGTGCCAACCTCCTTTACCTGCAGATGGCGTGTCGGCCTGCACGTCTCAGTGGCCACAGCGAGTCCCATCACATTCTCCTGGCCATGCAGTCACAGTCCAATGTGCTGGGCAGGGAAATTAGGCAGGCTGGGCCAGTGGCAGACGCCCGGAACTCAGGGTCCAATTTCCCCATTGGTTCGTTATGCGTGGCCCTGCAACGCGAAGGCTGGGCTCCCGAGTGGGGGATTTTCCAGCGCTCATGACCTGCCAGACGCCCGTGCTGCGCCCATAGACTGGTGGCTCTAGGTGGTATTAGTTGGCGGGCCGCTCCCGGAGTAGCGGAGACTTGGGCACGGGAGATCCAATCCTGGGCTCGCGAGACTGACTTTCCATGGATCCAATAGCACATCAGTGTGCAATGATGTTCATAATTTTCTGACACGCTGTGCTGTACGGATGTACATACGTAGCTGATCTGATCGAGTCGCCCAGCCAGCCCAGTAATTAATTGCCAGCCTGCCAGGCAGCTAGCCTGGCCAAGTTGTGCAGCTGAACTGAAATATCACGGGCTGTGCTGACCTGGTCCGCTTGCGCCCTCTCTCTCTCTCTTTCCTTTCCTCCTCTCCCACCTTCTCTGCCATTCTTGCTACATTACCTTGCTTCAGTCTCTCGCCAATTTATCGACTTGCCCCGAGGTGCGATGCACAATTGGCTGATTCCGTCTGTTGTTTCGCCGACTCCTTAATCCCTTTTAATTTAGCCCGTCTGCATCGCATCCCCGTTTTCGCAACCTAATTCACTACCACCCTCCCAAGCGATATACCCGAACCTGCTTACCTACTCGACGCGAAAAGACCAGCAGACTTGCCCACTCTCGCAACGCTACTGAATCTTAGTAGCCCCTTCAAGCCCGAGCGAGGAGGTGGTCCGCCCCCCCTCATCCACACCCCTCCCACCAAATTTTTGTGTCCCTTTACTGTGCTGCTTTTTAGACTTGGGTGACTGCTATCCAAGTCTGGAACCCGTTTAGGGCATTGACTCAGCCAGTATCCGGCATAACCTTGTTTCGGGACAGAACTCCTCGCTTTACCACTACAGTGTGCAGTGGTGCAAGTGCCCGGCTCCAATGAAGTTCTTCGGTAGCGGCAGCAAGAAACAGTCACCAAAAAAGTCCAACCACTTTGTTGACGACCTCCAAGACCCCCAGCAGAACCGCTCGGAGCCTTCGTCGCCAACAAAGCCGCAGCCCCGGCCGCCCAAAAAGTCCTCCTCCTCCTCTTCGCGCCATTCCACAGTCCCCGAGGCGACGAACAGCACCAGCAGCAAGTCGTCTCGTCCGTTCCGGACTTCCTCGTCTTCGCGACGGCACAAGATCGACGTCGACGCCCATCCCTTAAATTTACCACCAGAAGAGCGCAAGCGCTTGTCCATACTTGCTCAGTCAGCCATGAGTGGTAACAGCGGCAGCAAGGGCAACTCGATGGACTTGGACCGCGAGCCCGTCAACGGTGCCACCCCGAGCACTCCTCAACCCTCGGCTCAGGCAAATTTTTCTGTGCCCATCCCCAACGGAACCAGCCATGAGGAGGCACCAGCTCCCCCTCCACACAGATCTAACCCTTCGAGCCCCGTACCCACGGCTGAGGACGATGCCGAGTCATACAAGGCGGCCGGTAACAGGCACTTCAAGGAGAAGAACTACAGCAAGGCCATCGAGCAGTACAGCAAAGGTGCGCACTAATGTTTTGCTCTTTCCCCATCTTCCACGGTGGTTTTGTTTTACATGGCAAGAATCTGACATTTTCTGTGATATGCAGCCGTGGATCTGTTCCCCGATTCCCCGACCTACCTGAGCAATCGTGCCGCTGCTTACATGTCCAGCGGCTCCTACGAGGCTGCCTTGGAGGACTGCAGCCGTGCAGCTGATCTGGACCCGCACAACCCCAAGATTCTGCTACGCTTGGCCCGTATCTACACAGGTTTGGGCCGACCAGAGGAGGCAATGACTACCTTTGGACGCATCAACCCTTACCCATCCATGAAGGATGTGGCCCCAACAAAGGAGATGCTGAATCACATCTCGTCTGCCAGGGCAACCCTGGAGCGAGGATCGGCCATGTCAATGGTCCTGCATGCGTTGGAGCAGGCCGAGCGAGGGCTGGGACCCGGCGTCGGCAGGCCTCGAAAGTGGCAGCTGATGCGTGCAGAGGCACACCTGAAAATGGGACGGGAAACTTCCCTCGCCGAGGCCCAGAACATTGCCATGGCACTCCTCCGAAGCAACAGCCAAGACCCAGAGGCTCTGGTGCTTCGAGGCCGAGTCCTCTACGCCCTGGGCGAGAATGAGCAGGCAATCAAGGCATTCCGGATGGCCATTAGCTGTGATCCTGACTTCCGGGACGCGGTTAAGTGGCTTAGAATCGTGCAGAAGCTGGACCGCATGAAGGAGGAAGGCAATGCAGAGTTCAAGGCTGGCCGATTCCAGGCTGCCATTGACAAGTACTCACTAGCTCTCGATGTTGACGCAACCAACAAGAGCATGAACGCAAAGCTCCTGCAGAACCGTGCCCGATGCCACCTTAAGCTGAAGGAATACGACGATGCAATTGCCGATGCAGACAGGGCAGCCTTCTTAGATCCTACCTACACCAAAGCTCGCAAGACCAAGGCTACCGCTCTAGGGCAGGCAGGCAGATGGGAGGACTCTATCAAGGAGTGGAAGTCCATTGCTGAGCTTGAGCCTGAAGACCGTGAGGTCATGAAGGAGATTCGCAAGGCTGAGCTCGAACTCAAGAAGAGCCAGAGGAAGGACTACTACAAGATCATGGGGCTTGAGAAGGATGCTGGAGACAACGAAATCAAGAAGGCCTACCGTAAGCTGGCTGTCAAATACCATCCTGACAAGAATCCTGGGGATGAAAAGGCCGAGGCCATGTTCAAGGACTTGCAGGAGGCGTACGAGACGCTCAGCGATCCTCAGTAAGTGGCCCATTGATCGAATTCTAACACTAGATGGCAAGCAAAGACTAACTGGCTGAATAGGAAACGCGCTGCCTATGACAATGGTGACGATCTCATGGATCCATCCGACTTCGGTGGCATGGGTGGTGGCATGGGCGGCATCGACCCTGAGATCCTCTTCAGCATGATGGGCGGCCAGGGTGGATTCGGCGGTGGAGGTTTCCGCGGAGGCGGCGGTGGCGGGTTCCCTGGCGGCGCTCGATTCTCTTCCGGTGGCGGAGGATTCCCTGGCGGAGGTCAGCAGTTCAACTTTGGCGGTGGCCAAAGATCAAACTACCAGGGCGGCGGTTTCAACTACTCCTGACCAGCCGACAGTGATGATGAGGAAGACGACGACGACACGGAAGTTGCCGATGAGTACGATGACGGCCTCAACGAAGATGACGAGCAAGATTCCCTCGGAAGCCAAGGAGATTTGGGCAGTAAATGGCGGAGCGATGCCGACCAACGCCGGAATGCCAATAACCTGTGGATTGAGAAGACGCGAACCTACGGTATGGTTCTCCTGGCTACCCTCATGCTCCTCCCACTACAGTTGGTTTGCATTGGGGCGGTGTTGTCATTAATTGTATACTTGTTGGTGAAATATGTCTGGCGAGCTAGCCATCGGGGGATGTTCACTACTACGGGTTGAGGACGCAATGGGATAGATGTGACATGTCGTCCTTTAGCCATGGCGTTTTGGGATAGATTTAGATGCCACAGGCTCGAAAGTGGCTCACTTTTTTTGCATTGTACTTATGACATGGGGAGGAGCAGATGCCTGCAAGGTTCTTGGGGCTCAAAGCAATAAAGAATGTCCGTTACGCACGCACAAAGAATCTTTCTTCCCGCTCTCAATACTAGGGGCTCGTTCAGACGAGCAGCAGATGAAAAGCTATTCATTAACACATATTTTAATGGCCAGATGACAGTTGCGAGTAATCGTCAATTTGGGTATCGTATCTTCAACAATAATGAACCTACACCGAACTCCCTTCCTATATGCTATCATGAAATCCTAGTTTCCCCGGCTGTAAATCATATAAAGCCAATCCCATTTTGGCCCCTTCCTCTTCCTCTTCGCTTCACTTGCCCTAGACTTGCCCTATAAGTCTTGCTTTTGGATCCTAAACACACACACACATCTCATGCTCCCGACGAAGGCGCCGGTGTAGGCGTAGGCGTAGGCGCAGAAGGGCCAGGGCCCGTCGCCGCAGCCGCATCCTGTGCCCTGGGCGGCGCGACGCCAGACGCCCCAGCCTCGGCGGCGCCCTCGCCCCCCGTCACGGGGGGCTTCCCGCCCGTGGCCTCACACACCCTGTCGACGTCCTGGCGCAGCTCGGGCATGGCGGCGGCCATCTCGGCCGCGAGGACGTCGCGGAAGGAGCCGAAGGCGTGGAGCTTCCCCTTGAGGAGCTGGTTGCCGCGGCGGACGGCCTCGACGAACTCGCGGGTGTAGATGTCCGGGTTGCGGCCGTTCTCGACGTAGTCCAGGAGCTCGGGGGGCACCGAGGGTAGCTGGTTGGGGGGCGAGGCCGCGGTGTGGAGGGCCTGGAGGGCTTGGGATAGGTTTTTGCTGGTTGGGGCGGTTTAGTAAAGGATTTGTTCGCTAGCGGGGGGGAGGAAGAAAGGTGGCTACATTTCGCTCGAGAGGACCTCTTTGCTTGAACGGCCCATTGCGTCGTATGTGGAGACTTGGACCATGATTTGATAGAGCTCCTGGACTACGTCCTTGAGCTTGCCTGGGAGGACTTCGTTAGCAGGCGCGCGCGCGGATACAGAAGGAGGGCTTGGGTTTGTGTACGCTCGATGTTGTCATGGTCTACCTCAGCGAGTGGCGCCATGGCTGCGACTGGAAGATACCGATTAACAGACTCGGAGGGGTGAAGAAGAGAAGATTGTGGTTCAAGGCGGGATGAAGTGCATGCATGAGATCTGGAGGTGGGCTTTGACTGTCGCAAGAGTTAGCGCGAGCCACAGTGTGGCGCTTGCACCCAACTGGGTGACATTGAATTTGAGACACTCAAAATATGATACTACTTATGGCGAGCCTGCGAGCGGTATTATCAATTTTTTAATGGCTAATAATAATACCTAAGGGACGATACACTGAATTTTATTAAATTGCATCATTTAATACTGCCTTTTTAGTTTCATCATTATAGAAAGTGTTCTGCTTGTGACCATCCTTCAATCTAGGTAGTGTCTTATTTCTTCTGTCCTCCACTTGCTACCTAACCTAAACTGCCTGATTGTCCCTGCATGTCATTGGAACTCGCAAACTCCAACATTAGCATTCACAATTGATATCAAGATCTTTGTCAATTGATATTCTTCTTTTATAACTCATGTAACCCCTCACACTTTTGTGCTAGACTAGAAAATAAGCGTATCAACACAGACCCTCTGGGATCTGGAGCTATCTAAGTCAGAGATTCCCCCTTCACATTTACTAGTTGGACACTGGTTTTCGAGTCCTTGAGGGCGGCTTTGGTGACTATCCCATCATCGTCCCAACTAAAGTCCACAGATCCTCCGCCACGGATACGAAGACCTTTGACGCTGCCTCCGGCCCACGCCTTTGGGATAGCCGGCCCCAGGATCACTGTACGCACCTGGTCTTTAGGGGCGTCATGTGGCAGTGGAAGATCCACGGTCAGCATGCTCAAGACAGCACCTCCAAATCCATAGTTGGCGTCGATTTGGAAGGGTTCGTTGAGCCCGCTATACATGCTGAACCCATTTCCGACAAAGTTCTCGTCAATGGCGTAGCGCATATGCCAATATGCCTGCTCGGTGTTGTTTAGACGTGCCCACGCCGCTGATCGCCAGACCTTGCCCCATCCCGCGTTTGCATCACCGGCATTCCCGTCTCCCCGCGCGATGAGTGTCTTCTCGACGGCAGACTGGATCGTCTCGTTGGTGTAGCCCCCCAAGTAGGACGACACGGAGTAGCCGGGATGCCAGCCAGTGAGGTGGCTCAGATGGCGATGGTCACTCTTCACGTCGTATCCATATGAATCAGGGAGCTTCCACTCCTTGACGCCTCCCCATTCGCTAACGTGGAAACCTTTGTCCAGCTTGGCCAGAGCATGGCTGATCTGGTCAAGGAACTCCTGGTCCTGCTCCTCTGCATATGAGGCGCCGGCAAGAATTGTGTCAAATGTCCTGTGAATCTCCTGCTGGTAATGCGCACAGCCGAAAGTTGTAGGCCCATGCTCGGGGCTATTGCATGGGTTGACAACGAGTGTTCCATCCTCGGAAAAGGCGTCGTCTTGCAGTTGCGAGAGCCAGAACTCGGCCACGCCCTTGATCAGAGGGTACCCCTGTTTCTTGAACCACTCAACATCCTGCGTGTACTCGAAATTATCCCACACATGCTGCATCATCCAGGCCGGGGCCGCAGGATCTGTGTCTCGGTTAGAGGGTTGGGTGCTACTTCTGGCTTGGGCCTTTGGCGAGACTTACAGAATGCCCAGACCGCATCCATTTTCATGGCCGTGAAACCAAATACATTCATCTCATTATGGACAACCCAGCCTTTGGCACCATACAATAGCTGAGCAGTCTCAGTTCCACGCGGAACCCAGTTCTGCTCCATGTAGTCCCAAAGACCATCTTGTGTTTCCTTGAGACCGGTCTGATCTGCCACCCAGTAGTTCATCTGCAAATTGATGTTGGCGTGGTAGTCCGCGTTCCATGCCGGCCAGAGCTCCTCTGTCCATCTTCCTTGGAGGTTGGCAGGCAGTGAACCCGGCCGGGAGGCTGTGATCAGCAAGTGGCGAGAGAAGTCAAACAGCAGGGCCTCGAGGAAGGGATCCCCAGGTCCATCCACTGAATATCCAGCAATGACGTCTGCAGTTTCCTTCTTCGCCGAGTCGTAAATATCCGGAAGGTCCAACGAGAAAGCCGATTGTAGCGACTGGTAGTCGGCAATGTGATCCTTGGAGAGTTGCTTGAAACTCTTGGATGAAGCTGCCGAGATGATTTGAGACACAGATTCCTCGGGGTCCTCGCCTTTGAAAGAGTAGTCGTTTTCCGCATTGCCCTTTGATTGATCAAAGTTGGTACCCGCCGCTATCACAATAGTGACGGATTTCTGTCCTTGAGGAGCTGTGATTTTCAGGGCTCCTCCATCGCTGGAGCATTCAGTGGCAACCCCGGAACAGCTCGAGACCTTTGCCACAGCCTCATATCTCAGTCCCTCTGGTGGTCCCGCTTGGGTAAGTCCCCTCACGCGAACGGAGCGCTTGTTGGCATCACATGTCTGCTCGATAAGGCTGCTATCTCTCAATATGTTCTCGAATGCAACAGTCAGCTCGGGTAGTGTTCCAGTGGCCTCGACATGGTAAACGCAAACTTGCTGAGGGTACGAGCAAAACACCGAAGTTGTGTACTCGGTATCCTTCACCGTATACTTGGTTGTGTGAATACCCGTAGTCAAGTCAAGAGATCTCGTGTAGTCAGTATAGTCCGCATCGAGGCCTTGAACAGCAACAGTCAAGTTTCCAAGGGTCTGATATGCGCCATAGCCACCATCTCCACCCAAAAGAGCGTCCACATCTAGCATTGGGGAAAGTCTCAATTTAGTCTCAAGGGTCGGCCACAAGGTGAACTTTGGGTAAATGAGCAGGCTTACTTCCTGTTCCGTTCTGGAATATTTCGGCACGAATCTCTGGCAGGGCCGAATACTTCTCGCTAGTTGGGTTACCACCTCGGTAGTCCTACCCTGACGTGAGCTTGATGAACAGACTACTCTTGAGTTTCCCTGTACTCACGGATATCTGAAAGGGCCCGCCCGTCCAAAGGGAGTCTAGACTGAGTATTGCTTTCTCAGAACCTGGAGGTCCGTGTGGTAAAGCTGTTTTCCCACATCAGTTCTGGGTTTTAGCTTCTTTGATTTGCAGATGAAAGCGAACCTCCTAGTCTTCCGTTTCCAACTGGGTAGGCGGTCTTCAGAAGATAATCGGGGCTGGCCCTGTAGGCATGTGTCGCAGGTTTTGAAGACCACAGAGACCTTCCAGACGCAAAGCCGATGCCAGAGAAAGCTACCAGAAGCTGGAGCGCCATCGTAGCCATGATTCTGCGTTCTGCCGGCTGTAGGCTGTCGTCCGCGCTCGAACGTGTCGCTCCTTGCTATCTTTCTGCTCAGGTTCAATGCACCATTGAGCATTCAAGAAAATGGAATTTCTACCAGAGACTTTGATGCATATATGTCCCGATATCCAGTTTTATTTTTGGATCATAACAGCAAGGTCCTTTACTTAAGAGAGGTCTCTGATTGACTCTCAAATACCCTTCGGCGGCGCTCGACCCGTTGTACCGCACCTCACCGACAAGGGGTAAGGCGAGGCTAGAAATCATGTTTGCCCCTCTTGTCCATATATTGAATCCTCTCATACTAACAGAAATCTGGATAATCCAGGAACGACATGTCACCTGCTCAATTGAGATGGCCGAACCCCGGATTCTCCGCATCAACCGATGGTCGATTGGCGGGATTTCGGATGTGAAATGGCCCGTCGGTTTTGTTTCCCGGCACTTTGGAGAACCGGCTGAAAGATAATAGGAAAGGTCCAAGCCAATCTGCAGTGCATTTTCCAAGCACTTGATGAACACCCGAGATGCCTGAATGTTATATTGAGAAAATACCCGTGCCAATCATATAATGCGGGCCCGATTGGGCTTGGCATTGCTACATAACATCTCGAGGGGGTTAGTTTTTCTTTAGATATTATACCATAGTAGTCATTCATGCCTGATTTAATCTGGATTGGTGTGACAAACAGCCAAATGCATTGAGTGTTGGTGGTTGAGGCTCGCGAATAGTTCTCTGAGCAGAAGAACTGTAGGGTGCCGGACTTTGAATAAATCTAATCTACCTCGTTTCTTGCTTCAGAAAATAACTACATCGGCTCTAGTATGCGACTCAAGTTTAACCAGACTGTTGTTGGACACTATCTTGTAATTCATTAGGCCCAAAGGTCACGCGAAGCTCATGCTTAAGCATCTCAATCACCTCCGGCCTTGTCTTAAGAGTCCACTTTAGCAACTGCTAAACGATGTCTACAAAGATATTCCTCTTGCTCTCGGTCATATAAGATGCTTCCCGCTAAAGTCGTGAGAGTAGAAGCAACTGTATGCTTAACGTCCCGAGGAGCTCGCCTAAGCAACCATGAACGAGCCATATTCGCGGCAGAATCGCCCTATTTGATCTTGGCCGTTGCCAAACTTACCAGCCCCAGTAGTCCAGACCCGGAGAGACTCTAATGTTTCCCTGTTTTACCTTGTAGATAGTGTCCCAGCCAGATTGACCGTGCTAATGTCTCATCTACCGTGCAGTTCATTGAGGCTGTTCGCAAATGGCCCCTCTTTATATGCTGAGATATATCAAGTTTCAACATCATGTTGGTAAAACTCTTCATCAAGTAAAGGGTTATAGGTGGCATCTCGAAAGGGCCGCTAGTCAGCTTGGCTGTGCATGTTGTTGGTCGTGTACAAACTTTGGTAGGCCATGGCTCATTTCTCAGGCGGAGTAGGCACAGCGCTTAAGCTGCTAGAATGCCACATTCGCTTTTCTAGATACTTTTCTAATCGCAAAGTCTTGTTCCGTATGGATGAGTGGTGTTGAAAACATGCGGCCTTTCACATAGCCGGGACTGCTCCTCCAATGGGGCAAGGCACTCATAGCAGCAAGCCTGAGAAAAGTCGACTCAAGATTGAGAGGCCGTTCCGATTCAATATGTAAGGTGCCTCAATATTTATGTCAAGTTCCAGATCCAACTGATTACATCTGTGGCCGGTCATTTGTCTTAGGCGAAACTCGGACGGTGGTGAGCTCCCAAAGAAAGCCAAGATGCTGATTATTCCTCGGTATAGACTGACGCCATTAAAAAAATCCAATGATGATCCTTGCAGGTTCATGGCCGGGTTCTCGGTTCGCTTTGTTATGCCGTCGCGCGCGTATCGCTCAGAGGCAAAGGATTCCAAAACGCCAAGAACTAGCTCCCGCAACCTTGTAATAAAGCATGAAACATACGCGCCTTGGCCAGTCCCCGCGGAACAAAATTTAAGCAGTCAGCAGATTGTCAACATGGCCTAAAATCCTCCGGCCCTATTGGATTCATCTACGTAAGGCATCCGGGCCACCCGCGCGGGTCCCACCGTGCTCGAGATGAAACTTCCCCAGTGCCGTGCCTCCTCCTATTCTGGTAGTTCAGAAACTCAGTTTCCCGGATTGTGCTAGCCCAGTGAGCCTAATTTGTACCTTAGTCGGTCTTCTCTCGTCTGTCGTTTGAGAAGATGAGTTGACTAAGGCAACAAACAAGGGCTCAAGCGATTCAGAACATGTTGGTGTTGTCCCATTGCTCAACTCTTTGTTCATTTTCCGCACTCTGAGCGAAAAGGATTACATGACTCAAGAACCAAGTTGCTTGTCGGCACACGTCCACTCCCTATTTATAGGCTCATCCAAACTAGGCAGAAGAACTGTTCCTGGACTAAAGGCATTTGGAGTCTCAGATTCAGCCCCAGAGGGTGGCCACATGCAGCTAGAAGGAGGTCAGGGGCTTATTGAAAGTAAAGTAGTCTAGAAATTCTCATCCCTGTTGGCATACATCCATGATCCCCTCATCGGTAGAGTGTCACGGCAGTGGCATGGCGACAAGGGTTCCCAGCTTCCTAATCATGCCTAAACTAATCCCACCCAGTCTGATATAAAACCTCGTGAGCGGCTCTCCAAACCAGAGATACAAACATCCGGTTCATCCAAGCTCGGTCTTTTGATTCATTCTTTTATTCATTCTTTTCTGACAATTCACTTTACACTCACTCTTTTCCAACAACCTTCATCATGCATCGTTCTCTTTTCCTCTCGTCGCTCCTTGCCATGGAGGTTGCTGCACATGGCTTCGTCAAAACCTTCACTCTCGATGGAGTCGACTATGAAGGTTTCTGGCGTTGGAACACCAATCCCGACCCAAAGGCCATTGGCTGGAGCTTCACAACTCCCGATGAGGGTCCTATCCTTGACATATCCAACCCCGACCTGAGCTGCCGACAGGCTTCGGCGCCGGCCAAGAACTATGGCCAAGTTGCCGCTGGCGGCAAGGCCGACTTCTTCTGGACCTCTGCGGACAAGGTCATCAACCCCAACGGCTGGGCCGAGGGCCACCGCGGTCCTATTATAACTTACATTGCCCCCTGCAACGGAGACTGCACCAACGTCGACAAGGCCACCCTCAAGTGGACCAAGATCTACGAGGAGGGCCTCATCTCCGGAACCTCCAACACCAACGGAGTCTGGGCCACCGATAAGATGCGTGAGAACGGCGGCATCAACTCGGCCACCATCCCCAGCAGCATCGCCCCTGGGAAGTACGTCATCCGCAACGAGATCATTGCTCTCCACCGAGCCCACATCAGCGAGCCCGAGTTCTACGCCCAGTGCGCCAACATCGAGGTCACCGGCAGCGGCACTGATGACCTCTCCGGAAAGGGCTTCATCGCCACCCAGCTGTACAAGACCACCGACCACGTCTTCGGTTTCGATGTCTACAACGTGGGGAAGGAGACTACCTGGCCTATTCCTGGCCCTCCCGTGTACTCTGCTGCTGATTCCGGGAACACTGACAATGTTGGTGACGCTCCGAGCTCTACCAGCATTGCCAGCCCTACCAGTGTTCCCAGTACTCCCAGCACTACTATCTCTACAAGCACTGTTAGCTCTACCAGCGTTTCGAGGTCTACCAGCGCTCCCAGCGCTCCTAACACGGCTATCGCTACAAGCACCGTCAGCTCTCCCAGCGCTACCAGTACTAGCAGCCCTGATAACAACGACAATGGCAGTGGATGCAAGGGTGGTAAGGGTCGAAAGGGAGCCAGGTCCTTCAGGGCGTAAGAATGGATGTATATGTAAACACTAGGTACATAGATGCAATCACCTCATGCTTACGAACCATCTTGTTCGAACAATCTGATTGTCGTCAATTTTAAATCTAAAGCAACTTACGTACCAAACATAGAACCACCGGCTATGAGTGTTAACAGCGTAAAGGTGCCTCTATCAAAGTTACTTGTCAATGTACAACATCGTAGTCACTTGTAATGCCGCCGCGCCTAAAGATGCACGTACGAAATACAAATCACCGCTACCAGCCAGCCCAAATCGACAGAGTATAGCTTAATCTTTAAGGCTGGGACCCTTGGGAAAGAAAATTCATAAACTTCTTCACTTTCATGTTCGATAATACTATTCCTTTTTGTGACAAAAGCTTGCGTTTAGTTTGAAAACAAGGTCAGATTTTCCTATTTGGGCTTTTTTTCTCTCCTCTATCTATTATCCTTTGTTGGAAACTTGGACATACAAAGTGCCACCTACCATGAACGGCTTAATTGAGTAGGCAAATTTTCGCCAACAAATTACTTTCGTTCCTCTCGGGAGGGATCAATGTATCAGTCTGCTGAGGTACCTACTTAAACAGGTTCAAGTGCGAAAAAGTCTCGAGATGGCGTGTGAAACTTTTCTATAGTGCTGATTCTTGTTCCTTCTGCTTTCCCACGCCTCGGAAGCCTTCCCTAGCTCTTTATAGCTATTCCTTTGGACTCGGCGCGATCTTTTCTATGAGTGTCTCATTAACCAAAGTTCACTCGCGGTGCAATACGGCAAACATCAATAGGTCAGCAGCCACAACTCCTCCAAGAGTATCCAACAGCATACCAAGAGAGATTGCCAAAAGAGCAATTCTGAGAAAGCTCACCAGGCAGTCCTCCATAATACGCACGGGACACATAGGAATTCTTTTGGATAAGCCTAAAGGTATTCACGTTGGCCTTGAAGCAGAAGCAAAGAACGGCTTCAAGTCGACCCTAACAGGGGGCGAGGAGCACGTCCCAGGTGATTTCTCATTTTGGATATGGCAAGAGCTGGTAAAAGAATCCGCCGATTTACAGAGGACTGATCACCCAGGCATGATGGGGAATGGCTTGCGGGGTAGCAAACGAGGCATCAGCCGTCGTTTGCCATATTGCATACGGAGTTGGAGATTTGCGACGACGTCCGAGGTCACACTTACATTCCACGACACAAATTCTTCAATCAGGCACCGTACACTGGGAATAATTTGCGAGGACAATCCTTTGCAGGTCATATTGGTTCCCGCAATAGAGATTACGCCGCCGCCTGGAGTAGAGTCATCACCAGCGGGGTCATGGGTTGGGACTGAAGAGTTTGGCGAGGGAGAAGATCTCGACATGTATCATTTGGATCCCAACTGTTTTGTACTGGACGGAATCGAAGAGCACGAAGCGCCCGAGCATGATCAGCGAAACTCTCTGCAATATGTCTTGGGAGATTGGATGGGCGATGGGGAGATCTCAGATAGTAGCAGCGAGGATGAGGAAGGGTTTTAAAACATAACTAATATGGCTCATCAGCAAATATTCTGTCTATAGATGGGCCTTCGATCTGAATTGCTTAGGCAGCTGATCAGTAGCGACACGGGTCAAAGTATATTGTTCGCTATAGTGAATTGATGCTTTAGTTCCACGAATACCACTGTCTTCAATGGCCTCTGAATACCGATTGGTCTTCGATATATACCGGAAACATTGATTCGGAATCACAGAGAGTGAACCATCTATACCTACTTGGGGAAACAATTCTTGTTAGTTGATAGGTCATCGCCGTGAACTGCTAGCATCATGGTGCTACAATCTGGCTACGAGCTTAAAGTTTTCATATAACTGACACGACAACATACATAGTTGATCAGTTTATCTGTTCTCTGTGATGTTGGCACCCAAATTCGGTGCCTACTTGCGTCTTAGGATCCCCTTTAAGGCATGCGTATAGTTTGTACACCTACTCGAAGTGTGGACCATCTGAGATCCGCACATAAATAATCAACTGGTCTCATTGCTTGACTTGAAACATGAGATTACTATAACCATAGGTTCATTATGAATATATAGGATAGAGGAGGGGGATGTTCGTAATACAGAATACGAAATATATGGCTAACTTCACCTCATACACTGTCCGTTGATTCCCTGGTACTTCAAGATTTGTAGACATATGAATGGCTCAAGCATATCGTAATTCCCAGGGAATGTCTCTACCTCTACATATTTCACAGCGTGTGCGCAGGCGAGAGACGTATAGGCTACCGGCTCATTTCTGAGGCGATAACTTTAAAGCATCAGAGATCAGTTGGGTGGCGGAGAGGTCTCAGGTAGCATCAGGATGGAAGGGGTTGAATGTTTTGATATTATGTTAAAATCCAATGCTAGAGGTTTTGGGTATGCCATGTTTTATGCCAGTCGCTTTGACGAGTAGGATTTTGTACATTAGTGGTAAAATGATTTGTCCATCCACCTTGATCAAGTGTGGCACCTATCAAAGCGTAGCTATACTCTTATTCTGATGTGAGGATACTCGACCCTAACTAGTACCACCATACTGTATGTTACATGGCCTATGAAAACACAGCTTTGCTGCGGTCATGTATCATCCGTCCCCGAGCCCAACTGCAAGTCAGCCCAACTGCAAGTCAGCCCAAAGTTGCACATTCATGCAGGTCAGCCTCAGCTGCCGCGTATGAAGTTATTTTCTCTGTCGTTTCTCATCATTCGACCTTGCAAAACTTCATCCTCTTAATCAGACTCAACTTTACCCAACAATAACTCTTTGCTCAAGGAACATGTCAGCTTCATTTGGGCGACTCCAAGCTTCTGTGGCTACCGCGACACAGGAGGTTACTCTCGCGGCCGCCAACATCAACTTCGACTTCACGCTCGTAAAATACGAGGCACCAAAGGAGTTCCAGCCTCTAGGGGAGCTTCTGACATGGAAAAGAAAACATGAGGCGGAAAATGGCAGATCTCATATCACCGCACGCCGTCTCGGAGCCTTGTTCGATGGCGTTTGCCCAAATACCCCGAATCTCATCAAGGCATATGGGACACGAGTTGCAGAAGTCTCGAAGCAAGCAGTCGATAACGAGCCCAAAGAGTACCGGGATTCCATCTTTTCAGCGTACACCGGTGTGGATGGGACTTCGATTTGGGCAGCAGCTACCTCATCGAAGACGGCAATCCATGTCCACATGCTAGCTTGCATGCTGGCAGAGTTTTGGGGTCCCAATGAAGCAGTCTCTATATGGGAGGAGCTTGTTGCCGAAAGAAGGAAGGATATTACCATTCGTGTTGAGCGGGGAGAATACATGCACATCGCCCTCGCTGCTGCGGCACAACAGGACATCTTACGACAAGATCTAGCCGTCTTGGATGCGAGCGCCCGGGCGTGGACCCAGACAGCTAGGGCAGTGATGCGTGTCAAGTACACACAGCTCAAACTAATCTTGAAGAATCTCGACACCTTTGTCCATGAAAAGACGGATGTATTCAGTGGAGTGACTGAGGCATGGAAGCTTACATTAGAAACAATGGAGAAGCTTGTATCTGGAATACCACAAGAAGCTCGCCTCGGAGCAGCGTTACTGGGCATATCAGCCTGGCACATCTATCCAGACATTCACGTATTTGGGGTAAGGAATGTGGAAGTTCAAATGAACGATCCTCTGGTACAGAAAGGGGGGATCCTGTCGCTCGGTTGCTCCCCGTCAGATTCACATCCCGGTGTGCATTGGTCTCTCTGTCTCAACCACTTCAAGTTCTACGGCTCTTCCGTGCAAAGGGAGCAAACCTTGCAAGAAAATCACAATATGGTACCATTTCGGAATTTTCATCATGCAGTTGTTGGAGCAATCTTAAGCAAGTGGGAGACATCAACCGAGGATATTTCTACGGGCCTTCAAGTCTTTATGAGTCTTTGTTCACTCATGTCTGCAGAAAGTCCTAGCATTGCGGCCGTGCTTAAAACAACTAAAATAGCGGTACAAGAGTGCCTAGATGATCCCACTACCCGAACATTCCTCGACTATGGGCGACGGAAATCGCAGTTTCTCTCTCTCTACGGAGCAGTGACTGAAGCAACGGAGTACGACTTTCTCAGGCCCTACTTTGGGTTAACCCACATCGACATCTTATTTAGCTGTGTTCAGAGCCCCAGTGCCCGAGTGAATTTTCTTAGACGCATGGCAGCAAGGGTTGAGTTTCATGGCATGGACGTGGTGCTCTGCGATATTCATAACTTGCGGGTGCATACTATAAAATCACAAACAGATTCATTGGCCGGAAAATCATTCAAGGAAGGACCAGTACGTTTGTTGTCCAAATCCAAAATCGCCAATTTTTATCCTGGCTGGAAGCTAGACTCGGACAACGGCAAGTTGATATACACAGGATACTTGAGCAAGGAAACATTTGACCTTTGGCTTGGGGGACTTTCAACTGCCGCTGTTTTTTTACACTGCCAACCGTCACAAGCTCATCAAAAACCACCAAAACCACCGAGGATCACCCTAGAAGATCTTCGTTGGTGTTTAGAACATGATATGCTATCGGGAAAGGGGCTGCTGCAAAGTACAGAGAAGGCCACTCATATGCTGTCTGTGATTGCTGACATGGAATTTGCTGCAAGCTGTTTCAATAAAATACAGACAGCCATGGTTGACATGCGGAGCCTGGAGAGGTCAATTTTTCGGCAATACTGGAACCTTCTTCCACCATTTGAAGTGAACAAAGGGGCATTATCACCTCAGCAGTATTTCTCAGAATTTCGTCCCGATTCGCCGCGCCCCCTAAAGGACTGGATCCAGGTTATTGCAAGCTTGGTAGCTGGGGTTGACATACCATCGAGAGCGATTCCCTCAGGTGTTATAGGCATTTCGACAGGAAATTCTCTCCTAGTTCCCTCACAGGTGAGGCACCTCGGATTTATTTCACTGTTCCATCACATTGAGCTACCACTAATGTTTTCTCAGCTTCTGAAAGATCCCTGTGATGGAGGGGGGGCAGCTCGATTTATTAAGATATTAGGCAACGTGGGCCGCCCCGGACTTATATTGTTGTCCTCGCCAAAAGAACCGGTGCTTGCTCCCCTTGATACGGTGGACTGGAGAATGTGTAATATGAATCCATTTGATGGGAAGGGTGAAGACATGCTAACTTCCACATCCTTGCACTTGTCCTTCACAGATTGGTCCCGTCCCCTGAACCTCCAAACTACCGTAGGTCACAAGGCTATCCAAAGCTTGCTCATCGAGTCAGTTATTAGTATTCGGGAACATGGTAAGTGGGTAGGCGATATCGATCCGATAAGGGCTCTGAAAAACAACATTGTGTCCTTTTTGGCGCCACAAGCCCCGTGCTCTCATGCGCCCAACGAGCCACCTACTGTTCCAATGACTGCTGTTGAATGTTGGGACGAGCTGAGGGACTGCCCTGAAAATCTAGTTGTTGTGAAGGCACACGGGAATTGGGTTGCCCGGCTTGCAGCGACTGCTTATCTTGTAGAGTGCTCACAGAGAGTACCAGCGAAGGTCAAGCGGATTACGGTTTGCCCACAGAAGGTCTGCTGGGCTTGCTTGAAGCCCGAATTTGAGTCCAATATATACATATATTGAATATATCAAAACGATCTCATACATTTACGTTAAATTTGTAACCATTATCAAATGTTGAATGATAATTAGCTGAGCTTCGTTCTAGAATATGTTTGAGAAGCGTCCAAGCACAAGCTGACACCTAGTAGAACTGCGTTAAAAATTGCCATCATGTAGAAAGGCGCACCAGTAGAGAGCTTGTCAAACAGATACCCGCCGAGTTTGGTGAGCAGGAGAATAGCGGCACCGCCAAAGAGAGAGTATACCCCTGAGATGGAGCCCTTTAGCTTCATTCGCGTTACAGGTTCATCCTCCTTGAAGATACTCATCAGGGGATCCGCCTCAGCCGAGTCGTCCTCGTCCTCGTTTCCATCCTCGCTGGGGCCGGGAGCGATGAGCGGCTCCCGTCGATCTGGTCTGGGCAAGTCTACCTGGTTGATGCCCTGTCCCAGGATCCCCAGGCTGCATACGATCGCACCAATCTGGCTCACGCCAATGAGGGCAACCACGAGGAAGATAAACGGGCTGCCACCTCGACCATCCACGTTCTTGATCTCCGGGCTGGGCAGATGTGGGAAAACAATGTATCCAACCATGCCAAACACAGTGGCGACAACGATGGGCCAGTTCACCCTGCCCGTCCGACGAGACAGGTATCCAAACGCCGGCGCGCAAAGCAGGGCGACAAGCTGCGAAACGCCGGTCAGGATCGACGACAGAACATAGGCTGACTTGCATTCCTCCTTCAACTCTTGCGAAGGGTCGTTTGGCGAACCGTGGCAGAATCCCCTATCAATGAAGAAAGTATTGACAAACACGGGGATGAAGAGCGAGATGGCAACAGATGACGCCCGAGCCACAAATCCACCAACATAGCCGAGACAGATCTTGCGGTCGGTAAACCCGAGGAGGAAGGACTCCTTGAGTAATCGCAGATATGGGACCATCTCCTATTTGCGCGACATTAGAAAAGATGGTCATTCTTCCAGCATTAGGATACCAACGTACCTTTCTCTTCCTCGACAAATCTACATCCTCTTCGTCAGGGCCATCGAAAGGCACAAACCTTGGCCTCCGGCCCAGAAGCATTCTCCATCCCTTCCCCTCTTCACCCTTCAAACCCCGCAATCCCAGGAATACAAAGACCGAGACGAACAACGCCACAACTGCCACAACGTAGAAGCTATATGCCACAGCCTCACCCGGGGTCACCTTGTCAATTGCGCCAAATTTGGTTGGCAATGGGAGGAACAAGGACAGTGCCACCAGAGCTCCGCATCCGGTGAAGAGACCAACGAACCCAGCCAGCGCCGGCGCTTTGGATGCCGCGCTATCCCCGTCTTCACCTTCGTCCCTTGGGGCACTGTCAGTGTACCGCTCGGGTGTGATCGTCAGCTCCGACTCGACGGAGAAGGCGGTGCTGTGTCGGGAGATGTGCGCCGACTTGCGCCTCGTCGAGAACCCGTTCCGATCGTCGGCTTCGTCGGTCAGCACGGGTAGAATGGCCGTCACCATGGTCGCCCTATTTATTGTTAGCTTTCTGCTCTGCGCGCACCCAGCCGCCATCACACGGCTCCCGCTACATCCAGGGACTTACGATGCCGACGCGCCCACGGCGAAGAAAATGCGAGCGAGGAGGAGCTGGGGGTACACGTTCCTCGCCTGGACGAATATGGCCAGCGCGAGACCGATCAGCATGTATCCGATCGTAGCGACCCATCGCACACCCAGCCGATCCGAGGCCAGGCCCCAGGCAGGACAGGCGACGAGCGCAACGAGCTCATCCGCAAAGCCGAGCGTGCCGACGACGTTTCCGACGCCATGTTTCTGGCCAATGAGGTCCGTGACGACGAACGAAACGGAGCTGTTGAGGAAGACAAGGAAGGAGATGGAGAAGAGCGAGACGCCGAGGAGATAGGTGAGCGCCTGCAGGGATGTGATCGAGGAGGAGAACGGTAGATATCGCGATATTGGCTGCATTGTGGTTGATTCTTGGTCCAGTATCTGTTCGGTAGTTGGTAAACGGGTCAAATGAGGTTACATCGTATCCCCGATGTGCCGCAAAATGAGGAAGAAGAGTGTGGGAGCGGGACAGTTTTCTGGCGTGTTGCTTTATTCCTCGGTTCCTGACCGCGGCCCGCCAGACAGCTTCCGGAAGCTCCAAAACGGACGATCTGATAACTGATTATCTCGCCACTGGTCGTAATGTATTAGGTAAGCTGCCCATCACAGTAGCCGTCAACAGGGTGACATTAAAACTAATACACTTAGACCTCATCCTGCTTATCCTTGAGGCTGCGAGTGCTATTGTGATATTATTAGGCGCCAATGATAAATATTTAGAAGCCAATGGTCTGTCAACTATCAATTTATATCGTTCTATATTGCTGTATTGATTCATTTAGCGGGTTCTGCTCATGGCTTCTCTTCGATGTGATGTCTTATTTCTTCTGTCACCCAGCGCCGCCGACTTGGATTCTCGACGTAATAATTAGCAAAGACAATGCACTCATATTGATAGTTTACTTTAGCTGCTGGCTCCCCAGACTCTCTTCCCTCTATCAAATCTCAAGCCGGGCAAACCTTGATTTGGAGGATGGAAACCCTCCTCTCAGAGTTCCAAATCGCGCTCGAAGCGACCCCCTCCTTATACTCAGTCCCAGTATGTCAGATTCATCTAGTTTGGGGTCAAGATGTCGCTCCGGTGGAGGTTTCGCTGGCTCGCTTTGACTTCCCTTTACGCGAGTTCATTAATGGGGCAAAATTGCTCTCGCATGTAGTTGGGCAGGGTGGTTCCCCACCTCTGAGGCGTGGTTTGAGTAGTTGGCTGGATTTAGGACAAGCTCGGGACATCATGTGCGACATTGATGCCAACAGATCCGATAGTTTTAGTAAATGAGGAGCCCTTTCAACCTGGCCTTAGTCTCGTCGGCGAGGACTGGAGACTTTCCTGTCACATCGTCACATATTCCAAAACTCGGCCTCAACCGCGTAAGAATATAGCATTGTACTGGCAATAAGCATTATGCTCGCACAGTCGCAATTTTCGACTAACATTTGGTTGAGAGTTGTCAGAGGTTCAGTACAAAGTCACATCCATTTTCCAGAAATGCTGCCTCTCAAATATGCCATGGATTTGCTTCCCCGCCTACATTAACAATAATATCTACCTATGTATCAATATGCAGGGAATATTGCGGTTCTGCGGGCCGTAGTAGAGACACTATAGGCTTAGACACATATCGAGATAAGCAGCTCGGCAGGGATATAGAGCCACCATTTATATCCGATTCGCGCTATACCGAATCTGCCTCTGCCTCGCAGCTTGCTGTCCATATACTGTTAGCTTGCCCTGCTTGCCAGGCGCTGAATCCCAAAAGCAGGTATGTCGTATCACCGCTGGGGCTTGATGTCGGAGGAAGGTGACTTCCAATATGGGCTGGACAGCAGGGGCCGCTGATGCGGCACAGCCGCCCTCATGACCGAATTACTAAAGACGCTGCGGAGGGCAGAAGCAATTCGATTGGCGGGCGTTTCAAGTATGCAGCAACCCTGCAGCGTGCCCAACCAACGCCC